CTGTCCTTAGTACTTTTCTCCTCTTTTTACTCTGGAGTGCTTAAATAAACTCTTCACAGAAACATGGCGTGGTTTCAGCTACTGGCATCCTCTAATACTGCATTATAACAGTTCATTAGAACAGTTCACCTCACAGATGTTCTGTGTACAATGGTAGTTCTTTTACACCCCGATTATTTAATATGAACCTGGCTTCATTTTCTTAACAGAATAACAGTTCCTTTAATACATTTAGGTGAATTTGACATTTTTTGTCTTTGATCCAAATCCATTTTACTGTTCTTTTTTTCCTTTGTGCTTCTCCCCTGTACACTGAAAATTTCCCAGTTGTTGCCTTTTAAATCAGTAAATATAACTGTAGGTATCCTCCAAATTAGAAAGGCAGCATTATTTATTTGTTCCATCCTCTTCATGCTTGTAAGGAATATGTCTCCCGAGATAATCTGTGCTGTGTTCTTTAAGCATTTCCCAAGCTCCGTGGTGGAGTAAACTTCACAAAAAGAGTATGGAGGAAACTGGACTATGTATAGACAAGATGTAACTGCATTCGAGATTAGTTCATGCATAGTAGATGGCACCAAACCAGTCTTAAAAATTAACGACAGGAGAATTGCTTATCTACTTAGCCTCCTCAATATTGTTTTTATTTTTTTCCTATAAGGATCACGGTGTTGAGCTTTAGAAAATGTCACAACACTGTTATCTCCTCCACTGAAGCTGGCATAAAAGCAACTATTAAAAAAATAGAATGCTCTGTGCATTGTATTACAATTTTTCTTTTAAGCTATTACTATTTAAAGCACTGTCAGGCTTTTTCAAACCCTTAAAAGGCTTTCTCAGTGCTGTCATTACTGTGTAGTTTCTTCTTTTGGCCCACATATTGTACAATGAAGCATAAAGATTAAGGCCCACGCCCTGATATTATGTTCATTTCCATGCCTTCATGACTGAATTAAATACCAGCCCTGATGTTTCATGGGGTGGGGTATACTCAGAGTGCTTTAAACTGATTCTCTGGTTGTTGCATCACTCCTGGACAAATGCTCTGCAGGTAAAAAAACCAGAAAATTGAAAAGAATAACCCTCACCTACAATCCATATGTCTATCTGAATTAAATGCAGCTACATCTGAAGCACATTCCATCATCATCAGTGTAATGCTCCACTTTCAAAGTTGCGTCAAACATGATGAAGACATGATTTGTGCTAAGATGCTGTCAACTTCCAGCCTGCTACTTGCAGAACATTTTTTACTGGTCTGAGGATGCAGGCATGAAGGAGAGGAAAGCATGTACCACAGTGGGATTTGTATTGAGTTAATGATAACAATTAATGCTAGTAAATTAAGACTTTGTTTTAAATACGAAGGTCTGGAAGAATACATTTCATATTCTATCAGCTAGATTTTTAACTAGGTTTAATTTTCTAAAGTTCTTGGATTCCTATGAAGCTGTCCTTGCTCAGGATGACTTAATTACCTGAGACTACACTGCAGCAAACAGCAAGCAAGAAATGTTCATGCTTTATTCTGGAGGCTGTTCATATCGTTGGTCCAAAACAGCTAATGAATGTGGGAGAGACTTTTATCAATAATAAGTATTTTTAATTAAGCTTGCTCATGTACCAGCTCTCTATTGTAAAATTCAGCTGAAGGCATCCAAGTCACATAGTATCTTGTCAAAGACTATGTTAAATACGCCTTAGAAGTATTTCTAGGATCTTGCTTGTGCAGCATAACAAAATGAGGCTGTTTTGCAGAAGTATGTTTTTGGATTGAGTTTTTTGCTTCTGCTTTATTTTGAAAATATCAAGTTTATAAAGAAAGAAGCAAGCAAGCCAAGTGTAGTTGGTGTGGTTTATAAAGATGAGTGAGTAGGATAAGTCTTTTAGTAGTTTATTGACACAACAACCTGTTGTGTCACAACAGGGACCAAGCCAACAGTGCTGGTCTCTGTTTCCCTTAAAAATAGTGTGTAAATGTGAAAAATTGTGGTTGTGAAGTTTAGTACTAAAAGAGATTCAACTGACATTTTTATGATTGAGTAGATATGTTTTTATGTAGGAAATACTACATAGAAATTTGATCATCAGCTTGATTTTTGCAACTTTATTTGAAGTATTTTGTTATATAGACAGTATTTGAATTGAGTTGATAAATTCCTGGTTTGTATTCCTGACAGGAGTTAGGGTTTAAGCTAATCCAATGACTTTATCACAATTCTAATAAACAGTAACAAAAATGTTGCCATTTAACTCCAGAGTAAAAAAGCCCATGGAATTTTTGTTTGTTTGTTTTTTTCCCCCCCTTCAAGTTACAGAAGTTAAATAAAAAATACAGCCTGTCAGAAGATGGATGTTTTGCACTGGAAAAACTAAGTCTGTGAACTTTTATAGACAGAAAACCCTGATCAGAAGTTGCTTGAGGACAGACAGCACAAGCTTTCTTCACCTGTTATTTATTTCTGCAGATTGACGTCATCATTTCTGCAGATGAGATCTATTAACCTGTATCTCTGGATGCTATAACATCTTCAAATGCATTTAAAATGCTCAGTATTTTCAGGACACATTCTCATGCTGTTGACATAAGCAGAAACAATGGTGTTCTGGTCGTGCTTCCCAGTGGCTTTAATCCTGTGTAATGCCACTGCTATGGATTTAATGCACAGTACGATAAACATAAACATAATTATGATTTTTAAAGTTTGATTCTTTTTCAGAAATTATAACTATCTGTTAATTTTCTTTCCAAATTAAAAAAAAAAAAAAAAAAAAAAGAAAAGAAAAAAGAAAAAGTAAAACCTGGAAATAGATGATTAGGAATCCACTACATAAGCTATGCTATATATACATTATAGACAAGAATGAACGAGTGTTGAAATACAACACAAGTATCTTTCAAAGCATGAATAGTGTAATAGTACACTAATTTAAGTGGGCGTTCTGTGCATTATATTCACATATGGGCTCAGCCTTACGTACGTGCAGTAATTAGAAAAGGCTGAAAACTGGAACTACTAAAATTTAGAAAAGTGTAGACGAGATGGTTGTCTGTTTGCTTGTGTAAAAGCTGGCTTCTGAGACATCTGAGTCTTTTGGTGAGAGTTCTGTGTATCAGCTGTGCAGCTAGCTTCTTGGAAGCATCCTTTTACAGGGCAAATGAAATGGTGCTGCTTAGCTCTCTGCTGCCTCTAGCCCTTCACTTGGCAGCTCACACACAGCTAAACCAGTTTGCTTTCACAGTGATTTAATAGCAAAATTTTTTTACCAAGTAAATGTCAGCTATTGCTAGTGCTCACTGAAGTCTGCTTCCACTTAAGGTCAATGAGAATTTTACCGCTGAGTTTTCAGAAGGAATAGTTGTTGTTACACTTATTCCAGATACACATTAACAGCAGAAAGCAGAATTTTGCCCAATTGAGAAAATTCTAGCCTATCTTTGTCAGAATTAGTGCCCTGTGCATTAGCTGTTTCACAGGAAGCAAAATATTAACCTTTGTGGTAACACTGAAATGCTTGTAAATGTAATCTGATAAACAGGTCCTGCAATATATTGGTGTTGCTTTGCATTTGTGTAGGTACTGATCATTGCTATTGCAAATTACATGTCAACTCTTAAAAAAAAGTCCTAAAGATACTCTTATTCTTCCAGCAATTGCAATCTATTTACAAAGCTTTTTCTTTCTTTTTTTTTTTTTTTTTTCTTTCTCTTCTCCATGTGCAGGTAGTGGCCCAATTGTGGATCCAGACGTTTATGGTATATATTTGATTTCCTTTTTCTTTTCTTTTAACAATAGCAATAAAAGATTTGAAACCATTAAAAGACTGAATGTCAGGCTCAGTTAAATTGAAATGGCACACATTGTAATAAAATTCTAAAAGGTAATTTGTATTTTTGGTTCTTCTCCTGCCTAACGTTATTTAAGATACATGAGGACAATATGATGGTTTACTTTGCTGCTTTTTGAGTCATACTAGGAGATGCCTTAATCCACTGCTACGAATAGATGCAATTGATCCTGTAGGATGACAGCTGTCTGATGTAGCTCACAGGCATGAGATTTTGTGAACCTTTTGGAGGCATTTCTTGGAGGAGAGTTTGTGGTTTCTCCTTATATAACTTAATTTATTTTTTCAGGGACGACTCCATACTTGTTTTGCCTCCAAAAGTGCACCCCTAAATCCCACTTAATAATGAGGTTGGCACAAGTGAGTTTTCCTGTAGGCAATTCATTTTGCTCTGACCACTTGTTTGTACCTTTCCTTAATCTCTCTTGCATAAGCAGACCATCAACTCAGTGATACATGAGCGTATGCCAGAAGATTTGATGACACAGGGTTTGCATTAGTTTTTTAGTTGAGCAAAATGATTTGGTCTGTACCTAGTGAACACCAATGTGCACTAGAATAGAAGCTGCAGACTGAAAAGCAACTGGTTAGTTTTACATAATACTTAGGGTGAGTAGGAAAGTTCACCCTAACCAACATAATCAACACCCTTTAACTTCCAGCAGAAGCTGGATCCTGTTTGGGGTACCTTTTATTTGCTTGGAATGGCCCATGACTCAAGTTTCCTTAAGCTGATTTAAATGTTATTGCTTTGATTCCATTCCATGTCATTAAACTTTAGCAAATGTGCAATTGAAGGATCAGCTTGGCTTTAAATGCTTAGAAATGCTAAAGGATAGCTTCCCCTCCCTCTCTTTCCAAATTCTTTTTTTTTTTGGAGGGGGTGGGAAGGTGGTGATGGTTTGCACAATTTCTTACATGTGTTGTATTATATAAGCTGTATGCATGAAGATTTTGATTCTGAGCTGTTTATCAAGGTCTGGATGCCTATGTATGGCTTTAACCATATGAGTGCTGGGCTTCAGTTGTTGGGTGTGTTTCTGCTGCACTTTGAGTTGCACTAGCAGATCACAGCCTGCAAGACCTACTCCTGATGAACTCACCCTTCCTTTTTATCCCTGGATTTTCCTTCTGCTGTTGGAAACTGCTGTCTTTGATCTTTGTATCAGTGACTCAGTGCTTGCTTTGAGAAGCACTTTGTAGTCTAGAGTGTTTCCCTAATTATTCCAAATCCACAAGTCCAGCTAGCAAGGTGAATAAATGTGGCTGGCTGGAACATCTAGGAACTGCTGCTCTTCTTTGGAAAACGACTGCCTGCATGGCCAACAGTGGGACCCCTGGGATGAGCTCACCCCACAGAGACTGAGCGGTTTTCGTGACTTTTTTTCAGACCACTGTATATCTGTGCTTACCTGCTTACTCACAGCTTAAATTATGTTGGAGGGAAGATTTAAAGCCTTGTTCCTTGCCACATGGTCTTCCCTTTAAGATGCATTTTCACAGCCTGCCAGTGTCAGGGTGCTACAGGCTGGGAGGTCCCCACAGGGGTCCATCAGGGCAGGGGCTGGCGGCTGTGCCCGTCTTGGCGCCCCAGCCAGGAGCAGGGCAGCTGGTGGCCGTGGGGCCACAGTGCTAGGCACTGGGCATTGTGCTTGGGCTGAGGCCAGGCCACAGGCCCGCAGGCAGGGCCGGCCCAGGGGGCCCGAAGCCAGGCAGGGCTGGGCTGCGGTGAGATGGAGACAGAGTCCTGGTGCTTGGGGCACAGGCCGCTGCAGGTGCGGAGCAGTTGCCGCTGCCTTCAGCCCACCTCTGTGGCATGCCTTGGAAAAGGCAGACACGTGAGGCTGTCCTCGCCCTCTCTGGGAAGTAACCCAGAGAAACAGAGCAACTTCCCCGGGGCTGAGCCGGAAATCAAATGCAAATTTAGCTTTGTCAGCTGAGTTCTTGTCTTTGTGCCACACTGCTTCTTCTAATGTGATTGTGAACACGAGAGAGAAAAATATGCCCCATATGAGCCAACTCCCGACAGGACCGCAGAGCGGCCCCCCTGTGCTGGTGCGTTTGTGCTCTTGTTGGTATCCCAACCACCATGCACCTCGCTTGTGAAATGGCTGCTGAGTACTACACAGCCTCGGCTGTGGTATGGTCGCAGGTGGCTGCCTGAGGTACGTGGCACTGGACAACCTCTCCCCGAAGCAATACGAGTCCCACATAGCTTGACTCAAGAGGCGGGACCCTGGCTGTGTCAGAGTCCTTGGCGTCTATTTCAGGATTTCATACTGAAATGAACAGGAATTTTTTTAACTCGGAATCACCCGGTTTTGACTGGATAGCTGTTGCACATGTTTTCTTTTCCTGGCTCACCCATTTCAAGAGGCTTTGAAGATCTGGCACTGGTTCAAATACAGACGCTTGGCAGTTATGCAGCGGGGAACGGCAAAGCAGTATCAGCCTACCAACGTGGCCTACTTTAGCTCTTACCCATTTTAATATAAAAGTGCATTCAGAGGATTCACAGACCAGACCTGACCACTCTGCATAGCTCTTATTAGTCCTTCAGGATGTGATTTCCAGTAGCTTAGTACAGACATGAGCGTAAACAGACTGCCTGTCTCTATTCACAGATAAAATGACAAGCAAAATAATTCCTTATTGAAAGTTTGCGTTACAGAGCCAGAGCAGTGAAGGTTCTAAATATTTGGTTTATATATTTGCCTTAAAAATCTATGATAAGTAGAGCATTGGTCAAAAATATCTTTGTGAAAATTTCCCCAGCTAATTGTAAAGGAAGCCCTATCCTGTAGGCTCAGACACTTGTAATCAAGCAGGGTGTGCCTGCAAGTGAATGAAGCAGAAGTTTCCTCCTTTGCCGCGGCAAAGCCTGTAGTCACGATGGCGAATGGTCTGCACAGCACCTTGTCGGAGTGTCCCCAGCTGGTTGTGCAGGTGAGCCGTGCAGGCAGGGTTTGTGCTGCCCCGACCATGGGGTGCTCGTCACTGTTCCAGCCTTGCAGCATAGGGAGCTGTAGGCATAGAGATGCAGCGCCAGGTCAGAGAATTCAAATGGTAAAAGACCATGAAATTTAATTTTGTTTCTCTTGAAATCTCTGTGTACTGAGTATGTATTTTACCTTGAAAGAGTCCTGTCCTTCCGTGTGTGTGGTGTAGAGCTAAAATAGACTACATGAGCTGATCAGACAACCTAATTGAACTGACTGTAGCACTGGTGCCAGAGATAGCTGCGTAGCTTCACATAACAAAAAATCTGCAGCCTGCTGAGCCGTTTGCAGAAAGCAAATGTGTTCGTGCATGCATGAAGATAAAGCCCAGTGCAGCTTGTTGCTACCATTGCCAGCTGAGCTCTCCAAACTCGCCTTGGGAACTTAAGAAGATAAACTCTGCCGAGGCTCAGCCCCCCCCCGTCCTTGCTCAGCAGCAGCTCTGCAGCTGGAAGAGTATCTTCCTCTGTAGTTAGTGGGAGCTATGCCTCTGCACTCTGCTTTTCCAGACTGACAGTTAAAATTTCATCTGAAGCCTTTTGACACTGATTTTAATCAAAACATGTAAAGAAATATGTGGTTAATTGAAAATTTAAATTACAACACTGGAGGTGTATTCTGTAATAGACGTGGTTATTGCCCTTGTTTATTTCCTTCATCTGCACACCTCACAGCCATAAAATTGAAACAAGTATATGTATTTCCAGATGTAATCATAAAATATAGGCATTTTAAAATTTTATTTTAATGCACATTTCTCTAAGTTCATATCTATACTGTTTAATTCCCCTTATCTCATTTGAACAGTTTTGATAGGAAATCCTGGGCTGTAAATATCTATATTTCATTTTTAAATAATTATAAATAATTAAGTACTGTTAACTCTTTTGATGGAATAGTTCTGGATTCACCCCTACAGACCTGCCATTGTAATTATTTTGATAAATCAAATTTCTTCATACCATTTCAGGCGCTTAATTTTTTAAAGGTTTGCCTGTGTGACGGCTTACGATGCTGAACTTTAACCTCCATACACACAGCAGTATTTTTAAATGTTTTGAAAAAGAAAACTGGCTTTTATTATTTAATAGTAATAAGCAGGCTAAAACCCCATTTGTCAGGTTCTTCTTGGCTAAGCCAAAGTCCCCAAGCTAATATGTAAGACTGTCCTATATTTGGCTGAGTACAAGGCTGGAGAGGTTCTGTGCAGAGGGCAGTCTTTCATTTTTAATGGGAAGTCAGAAGTGCATAAAAATAGCTTTATGTATGGTGTTCTTCTTTAACTCTAGTTTTTCCAGTAGAGAAACACATTGCGATGTAGAGCTGTTCTCTGTTTGAGTTTGGCAGTCACAACACATTTGTTCCATTATCTGCCACAGGGATCCTCCAAAATATTCCAGCTACCTTAGCAGTTATGTGTTATTTCCAAAGAGCTCAGAGTACTGACAGTTGTAGTGGCCTACAGTGCCTTACAGAGCAGGAATAATAATAAATGCAACCTTCTCCCCTCTGAAGTTACAAAATCATAAAAGCAACCTTTTTTTCCTTTCCTAAGAGTATGAAACCACGCCTAATGATCTTGGGGACACCACAAATAACAGTAATCAAATAACTTCTACGGATGTTTCCAACAAAGAGAATGAAGATAGCATCACTGTAAGTACATACACGTCGTTTCCTGATTTGTAATCTTGGTGGACTTTCTGACTATACAACTCACAAAAGCACAGAGATTGTAACAGGGCCTTGAGCTACCAGAACACTGGAGCTATTCCTGTGTTATGATCAAAACTCAGAAAGAAAGGAAAAATAAAAAAGACAAAATCAGTACTCCCCCTTCTTGTCCGTCCTCCATGTCTTGAAAGAGTGAATCACTTTCTAGTCCGAGTAAAATGGCTAGTTATTTTGTTTCATGCTTTTCCGAACGACTAAGTATAATCTTTTAGCCTAAGACTTTGCTTCTAATTTTGGACAATAAAAGGGACTATTTACAAAACAAAGACATCCAAGGTAATTTGAACATAGATTGAACTTCAGTCCTGGAGTGAGCTCCTTCTTACAGAGAGGATGTACAGCAAAACTTTCAAATTCTAATTGAATGTTTTTAAAACATGATTTCATGGAAGTTTTTGGTCAAATAATTTGCAGTAGAAATTAGTACAGGTAGCTGAATCAATGGGCCTTCTCTTTTGCTGTCTTGTGCTCTCGTGCTCTCCTGTACTAAATTATTGGAAACTGGTTGTAGGTGGCCACCATGGTAGATAATGCAGCCTCTCTGCTTTTGGCTCTGTAAAGCAGCAGGCAGCAATGGAGAGTATGTGTGTTCATGAACCAGAGAGCAGACTGTGAGCTGAGACATCGTGCTAAAAAATTGGGAGGATCCCAGGCAGTCTTGTCTCATTTGATAACAGAGTCATTGAATGGCTGAGGTTGGAAGAGACCTCTGGAAATCCTCTGGTCCAGTCCTCCCTGCTTAAAGCAGGGCCAGCATGTTTGCTCAGGGTTGTGCCCAATGTGTTTTTGGTATCTCCAGGGATGGAGCCACACTGGGCAAGCTGTACTAGTGTTCAGCCACCCTCACAGTATTTTTTTTTCTTATGTGTTTTTTTATAACATGCCACTCTGCTGGAAGGGAAAGGGGTGATGTGCACTCCCTCCCACTTGCCTTGAATATGTAGGATGTTGAAAAAGTTGTTCTCAAAGGTGTCTGAAGCTCTGTTCTCTGCAGGATAGAAGAAACCTCAACAAGTGGCTGTTTTCTGTACTCTTTGATCTGAGTGAAAATGCTTCCCAGCTGAAATTAATCTCTTTACCTAACTGGGTTAATCTGAATGTATGCTCAATGTCTTTGAAGGTAGTTCATGAGAACAAAACAAGCAGATCTTTGTGTCCTCTTTTTTCAGGTGTATGTTGTGGTGGGAATTGCAGCACTGGTGTGCACTGGCTTAGTAATAATGCTCATTATTCTGAAGTTTGGAAGACACTCTAAGTTTGGGATGAAAGGTAAGCAGGGCTGTTTTTTATACCTTCCAGAACTGTTGTGGGTTGTATGAGCTGACATTATAGGCTTCTGCACTGAGACCAGTCGAAATAACTAAATTAAGTGCCATCACATTTAGTGTCTTGTTTATTCATCAGGTAAGTACAGGCAGAGGCTTATGTAGACAGAGTGTAGAATTTTGGATCAAGCTTTTCTACTTCTCTTTTTTCTTTAGGACAAACCCCTTTTCTCTCCCTTCTGCTGCAAAGCCCCCTGAGACACTTTCTGGAGTAAAATATTATTTGAGCCAGTGTCGGTAGGAGGAAGATAGGAAATGAAATTTGTTCTGATATGAGCTTGATTACAACAACTTGGTGAGAATCTATGCTGTGTGTGAGAGGTACTTCAGACCATAATGCTGTGTCACTTTAAGGTGATAGATTAAAGGGGAAACAATGGCAAGTGCCAAAGGTGTATTTGACATGGATCCTGTCATACTGGTGCTCTCTGACATGCATTTTCTGAGCTTCTGTTTGTGTCTTGGGAAGCAGCTGCTGGGGAGAATGGCAAGTCCTCATGTCCCTGTGGCAGGGGGAAATCTCAGCCCTTCCATTTATTAATTTATTTATTTTACAGCCGAATGGGGGTATGTGTAATATGGGGTGCCTACAACCCCATTACTGTATTATTTTACTTGCATCATCAATACGTCTGGTGATGTGGGTGAAATTGGGTTGAAAAAAAAAAGGAAAAGAAAAAAACACTGGCTGTGTTACTGGGAGGACTGGAAGGTGCTTTGTTGTGTGCTAAAGGAGATGTGCTTTTGCTCTTAAGATGTGTAGATGAGGATCTGAGAAGAGTGGTAAGTAATCTTTTGTTAGGCTCCTGTTAATGGCATGTCCTTTCTTTCAGCTGTGCTTATGACATAGCACCACATGAATGTATATTTTGATAACCCTTACTTGCTCTTGACAAGTGTTCCTGTCAGAGGTATCTACTGTATATTTTATGTCTCTTCATTCTGTTTAGAAGAGAGTTCCTGGAACAAATGAGATCTGAGCAGAGCAGAAATGTAGTCGGTGCAGATTAGCTTGCTGGGACAGGAACCTTTCCTCTCATCTTCTTCTCTATGACATAGTCTCTGCTCTTTGCAGTAGCATTAGAGGAAGACAGTAATTGTGAAATATCCTGAATAGCAACATGGAGCCAGGAGGATGGAGCTGCAGAGTTTTGGCCAAAGACTAGAAAAAGCTTTCTGCGACTGAACAACAGTTTAGTGTACATGTTATTTCTGTCTGCAACTGTATCAGTTGCATTTTGAGAGCTGAAGTAGGTGGACATGTCTGGTGTTAGTTCTTTAAAGGTGAACATTTGTTAGGTCTTTCAGAATTTTCAGATGGATATTTCACCACAAAACTTTTGTGTTGGAGAACTATTGGAGGAAGTAGGAAGTAAACTCTACCCTGAAGGAGAATGCACGAAATGACATTTTGTGTGCCAACATGTTATATTACCTTCCAGGAAGCTCCTTACCTAGTGGTTGGTTTTTAGTATCTTCAGGTACAACTCGTCTTAAAAAAATAACACTCCTGCCTGATTAGTAAGTTGGACCTCAGTCGGTTTTTTTTTGTTGCAGAATTGTCCATGTAGATCATATTTTAGTAAGGGTACACTTTTGGGGAATCAACTATGAAATGATAAAAAAGCAGAAACCTCATATACGGTGTTTATTTTACTCTTTAAATTAGACCAGTGCTAGTTAAGAAAAGCAGTAAAATGAGTTCACTCCTTCAAAGAATAATCACAGGCATGGTACTCAAACTCCTCCAAAGTTTACATTCACACCTGAGCTTCACAGTCTTGAGTCTATCCATTGTCCAAAGTCCCAGAAACACTGTCTGTTTATCATCACCAATATTATTGAATTTATATTAAAGCAATACTTAAAGACCTGAGATTAGAACACCACATTGATATGTAATGCCCAGACTAATAAGAAAATGTTACCTCCTCTGAAAAACCTGCAGCCTAAGTATATTTTAGAGTTGGTAAATGAAGATAAACAACCTGGGGTATTTGAGCATGAGGAGAATAAGGCACAGTGAAATTTTTTTGCAGTCAGTATTGATCAGTACAGTAAATTTAAAATGTGTGTCTTGGAAATTCTGAACAAAAGGATCAAGCCAGCTACCTGTGAACTCCTTGAGTCATTTGCCATTGAATTCAACAACAACAAAATTAGTCCCAACTTAGCCTACTGATCTTGTGTTATACTTGGTGATTTAATACACAGTCTTAGTAAAGAAGTAGGAAGGAGTAAAATGTCCATATTGCCATTCAAAATGCTTACAAAGCAAGATAAAAAAAAATCGCCTTTTCAAAACTTCCAAAAAATATTAATGAATATTTTGCATTCATAAGAAGAAACTCCCTGAATTACATCAGACAGAAATTCACAAAAGGCTGTGCTTCCATTTTTCTTTTATCTTGTGGGAACACAATGTGGTCACCTCAGACACCCTGTCATTAAATGTCTCCACACCCTTCTGGAGCAAGCAGTTTGGAAAAAAACAGAAGAGTCACTCAGTAACTGGAGCAGTCAAACTGGCACTCAGTGGTATTTTTCATGTAACCATGTACATGGGAAAAAATATTCCACTGAAAATTAGAAAAAGAAATGTGTAAATAGGCAATCAGCACTCTGTGTCCTGTAGGAAATGTCTTTATGTAAGGGATGAAATTTTCACCCCATTTGGGTTCACAGCAGGCATCTGCAGCTTCTTGAAAACATTGTTTTATGCCTCATATTTTTAAATGCCAGTTTATCCCATCTTTTGCACAATCATCAACTGCCCACTTCTTAGACAGTGTCCTTGCTGAGTCCCTCTGCACTGAAGGAGCTTGAGCACGGCTGGAGTGTGGGACTGACAGCGACGGCACCCCCAGAAGGAGATGTGGAGTGGGTCGCTGTGTCTGAGCTGCCCCACATCAGAGCTGCCTGTGCTGCCCATGCTGAAGAGCTGCAGACACTGTCACGGAGCTCACACCCCTCCACCCCCCCACTGTCTTCTTTCCATTACTGCACAGAACAACTGTTTATGTGACAGGGAGCACCAGGTCCTCTGGGAGCTTCTAGTACTTTGGCAGTACTGATAATCTCTTACCAAGATCTGCTAAAGAGCTGTATGAAAATAACTTACCCTATTTTTCGACTTACCTCTTTGTTTTGTTTATCTAAGGTGAGGGAAGGACTTGGGATGTGTTAATTTCACTCAGTTACCTCTCCAAATTGTAGTAATAGAGTGTTTTTACAGGGGAGGAGGACAAGTAAAGCACTCATTTACTGCCAGTAACAAAAGAAAACTATTTTGTTTGTGATGTTCTAGATTCTGGTTGAGGCTGGCTGCACTCTACTTGGCAACTGTTTTAATCCTTGCCTTCTTTTCACTCTGTCTTTTAGAGCTAGGGGAAATAGCAGGTTCTGATGATTAACATCAGAAACAGTATTAGTACAGAACTTGTCTGTGATCTGTGCTAAAATAAACTTAAAATAGTGTTAGTACCAAAAAACAATACTGTTCTTTCTACTCTGTGGATAAACTCTCATGTTGTGCTAGACTTCCATACTTCCATTGCAAAATTTATCAGAGCAACTGATGAAACATAGTTCTTTCTATTTCTGTGCTTGTGTACATTTTAACCACCTTCTGATACAGTGTCTGTTGGTAACAGCTTTGTGTGAAAAGCTGCTTTTGATTGCTTGAATCTGGAGGTGAGATTTGTAGACCCTTGCAAAATGCTGCAATATAAATGATGAAAGCTTCAGTTAATTTCTTAAATGTATTCATTAAGATTTGTGGGTTGCTCTTATGAAACACCTTGGCTTGCTTGCTTGCTGGAGGATGTGAAAATGCGTATGGTGGGATTTCACTAAAGGCTGCCAAGACAGCTCTCACCATTTTGTATGTATTTCTGACTCCATCTAACTAGCTTATGAAACTGAAAAATAACACAGGAACTAGAGTAGAGACAGCAGGGGAAGGTTTGTGAACTCCCTCAGAGGATATGTGGAAGAAAAATTCTAGTCTTATTTTATTCTATCTGCTATGTTGGAAAATAAATGTAAATAAAGAGCTAGTTGCAACATAACCAACCCCATGCACAGTTTGCAATTGTTGACATAGCAGCATGCCTCTGAGCTCAAATGCAAGTATGGAAGAAAATGATGGACGTTGAATCAGTGGGTAAAGCGAAGTAGCATAATTCAGTTAAAAGGATGAGAGCATTTTTGCTGATTTGGATCGTAGCAATTTTAGCACAGGGTGTTCCTATGACAGCAACAGGGCAATATCCATAGCGCTCTTCGCTTGCTAGGAAAGCTGGATGTGGATGGTTACAGATGAGAGTATTATTGCAGCTGCTTTACTGTAGGTAGAAGTGAAGTTTCTGTAGGTTTTACCAAAAACAGAGAGAACCCACTCCTCCCTAGAGTATCCCCTTCTGTCTTTCAAGGAGTTCAACAGATAGAATCTGGTGGAAATAAAGGAGAGGAGTTTTTCTGAATGGTAGTGTGAAGTTTCTGTCAGTGACTGTCAGCTTAGAGCTGCAATAGTGCAAAGGCAAGGGAACAAACAAAGGTACAGGAAAAAGTCTGAAATTCCCATTGTACTTGGTTGGTACCAGCTTTCAACTTATGTCTGTGAGCTTGGGTGTTAGGCTTTGAAAAGTGCTTCTTCCTTGGGCACTTACTGAACTATCTACCATGTCTAAACCTGAGCCCTGGCTATGAATGCTCCACCCCTTTGGGAGTCTTTCAAGTCTGTGCAATTTATAGCACAGAAATTTGTCTTTCTCTGATCAGGTAATGATATCGTGTGGGCTGATTTAAGAAAGAAAATAGTGCCCCTTTTAGGGAAAACACCATACAATACTATCCCTTCAAGTCCTTGCTAACTGCTTGCCATCATGTCTTTGGATGTCTGTATTGTGCCATTGAATGCCTACATGCTAATGGTGGTGATGATGGGCTTGAGTGTTTACGGGTAAGAATCG